GAGTCCTGGTGTGGTGTGGTACTGTGGGTAATGCGCTGGACTGCAAAGTTGCTTTGAACCTCAAGGTCGGTGGTTCAAGCTCATCAGCCTCTCCTCAGAAACCCTATCCAGGGTCAGGGTTGCTATGTGTCAGACAGACTTGACACACAATAATAACATACATACTGTTTCTGAGGAGCAGCTGGTGGTTTTGAACTGCCAACCTTGTGGTTTAAACCACTGAGTGCTTATTCTTCTCATTTTCTAAGTATATATATGAGCTTGCAGGCCGGCACATTAACTTGCAGCACCACACCAGGACTCCATACACATCTATGGAGTCCTGGTGTAATGCTGTGGGATAAAGCATTGGACCACAGGCCGCTTTGAACCACAAGGTCATTGGTTCAGACTCACAGTCCCTCCTTGGAAACCCTGTACATGGTTGCTATGAGTCGGAACCAACTCAACAACACTTAACAAACTAAGGTACCGAGAGGCAAAGTCTCCCAGCTTGCAGGCTGGAGAGGTTCCAGAGTCCATGAGAAAACCACTGTTTCCTCCCTGACAATCATGGTGACCATACCCTCCAAAGCTGAGAATCCCAAAGGGTGTGGGTGTTTGTCCTGGGCCTGGAGCAGGGAGTCCCAGCCAGTTATTGGCTAAGCTGAATGAAACCAACTCAAGGGCAGGCTTGAAACCCTAAACATTTGGCTGAAGAGCCAGGAAGACGTCATAAAAGTCTTACTTCTGATCTGCTCTGGAGTCCTGCATGGGTGGAGATGTAGGAGGAGATATGCTTGCCTTTATATTTATGCCTGAGGCAGCAGGGTGGTGGTAGTGGAGGTGGTGGGTACCCCACTATAATCCAGCATGATCCCTGTGACTGGGTTTCCTGCTGGAAGCCCCTCACCAGGCTCCTGAGGAAAAAGGGGCTTTGACTGTGATCCAGATTAGGATATGTAGCCCCCAGGCCTCAGCTGGGCCCCCGCCATGCATGGTGCAGAAGACCACCACTATGGGCAGGAGGGCAGCATGCTCCATCCATAAGCTCAGCATGTGACCTAGCAGGATGGCTGAGCCGTCTGCCCATCCCCATACATGGAGGCTTAGCCTCCCAAGCCAGATGTCTGCTTCAGAGCTCCAGCAGAAACCCTGCTTCTGCCAGGCATTAGCAGCTGGCTTGAGCCAGCAGAGGGCATCCACACAGGCTATTTGGCAGTGCTTTCTCAAGTCCCCCAGGCCTACCCCAGACTGACCCCAACTTGGCAACCCACATATGCCACACTCCGCTGGAAGCGCCCACTGGGCTTCTGGGCTGCTGGGCTGCTGGGCCAGTCTCTCAGCCACCTCTTGGAACTGAAGTGAGTCCCTCAGACTTTTAAAAACTGGGATAAATTTGCATACAATAAAACAGACTGATCTTAAGAACAGATCCTAAGTGAGTCACCTCAACTGGCCTCAAGTCTTTTGTCCTACCTCCAGGAAAATGGTCATTATCATTATGAACCTTTACTGAGTGTGGCGCTGCAGGTTAATGCGGTGGACCGCAAGGTTGGAGGTTCAGGCTCATCAGCCTTTCCTCAGAAACCCTATACAGAATTGCTATGAGTTGGACTGAATGGACGATACTTAACAACAACAAAGCAGATGTAGGGGTTCACAGACCCCACCCCTCAATCACATGGAGGGACTCAGAGAGCAGATCCAGTCCTTGGTTTATTGAGAGGCATCCCAAATGGGAGAAGCCACCTGCACCCGCTTCCCGGCTGCCCTGCCATCTAAAGCTAGGTGACCTGAGAATCCTGTCCCCACACTGGAGCCTGGCTTAGCACCTTGCTCCCAGGCCCCATCTCTGGGAGGAGAGAAATAAATCTCCTGGCGCTGGGACGAGGGCAAGGACGGTAGGAATGGAAGTTTCCTCTGTGCAATCTGGATCCTTCTCCCCTCCACTGTGAACTGTTTGCCTCCTTTCTCCTCTCTCAGATAACTACAAGCTCCCCTCCCTAGGGCACAGCTGGGTTGTCCTGGGACTCGGGCTCTGCCCACAGAGGGGCCTGGAGACCTTCCCAGCTGCCAACCCAGTCTGGACAGGCCCCTGCTGCACCATGCTCTTAAGAGCCCATGCCTCCTGGCCGGCTATCCTACACTGTCCCTCAGGCTAGAAAACAAAATGCACTAGGAGGACAGGTGGGTTCAAGGCAGCTCGGGTCAGGGCACTGTCAGGGGCAGCAGAGGAGTGTCCGAGCTCTGGGTCGAGACACTGGCAGATTCATGTCCGATGAGCCCCAGGCCATGCAGGTTGAGGATGGAGTCAGCTATGATGCGGGCCGTGCGCTTCTGGTACCCACCCGACGTCACCATTAGGATGGGCACCTGGTAACTGCGGACCACTCGGAACACCAGCTCATCCCGCTTCACGATGCCCTGGGGGTGAGGGAGGCCAGTATCAGAAAGTGCTGCAGCAGATCTAACCGGGCTCCGAGTGATTGCTGCCTGCTTTCCCTGGTGTGGCTGAGTCCCCAGAGAAGGCCCTCCCCTGCCTCAGGATCAGGACCTACCTCTGGGCTGATGGACAGCCCCCCAAGGCGGTCCCCCTCAAGGACATCAGTGCCTGCGTTATACACGACCACATCGGGCAGATACTCCTTGAGAGCTTTCGTGATGTTCCTTCCCACCTTCTCCAGGTACTCATCATCCTCTGTTCCCCACTCCAGCTCCACCTTCCTCCGGATGGCCTCTGAGACAGAGAAGGAAAACTGAGGCTCAGGAAGGGTCCCAGTGCCTGCCAGTACCCTAGCCAGGATGGAAACCAGTCAGCCTGACTGGACGAAGGCTCTGCTCTGCTCCTTGAGGTTGTGAAGTGCCGTGCAGGTGGCTCCGACTCACAACAAGCCTGCAGAGGGTTTCCAAGGAGCAGCTGGTGGGCTTGAACCGCCAAGCTTGCAGTTAGCAGTCCAGTGCTTATCCTACAGCACCACACCAGAACTCCTTACCTCACCCAAAGTTAACCTAAAATCACTACTGAATTAAAAAAGAGCGCAAAGGAGAGAAGAAGAAGAGAAGGGGGATTAGAGTAGAAACACTTCTGCCCTGGGAGTCAGGGACCCATGGTTAACATTATCTGACTTCACTGCCCAGACGTGAGACACCCTGCAATGCTTTCAAGCCCAAAGTCAACACACTCAAGATTCAATTCAGAAATCGGTGGCTTGGCTATACAGTGGCTGGCCCACCTTTGTTAACACTTCATGTGTACATGTTCCCAATCTGCAAACTGGGTAGGTGCCTATGTTTTAAAATCTCAATACAGAGTCTCTGTCTTTTGATTGATGGGTAATCCACTTTAGTTTAATAACTATTATATTTTAATTAATTCCTGCTATCATATTTTATGTTTTTCACTTTAAGAGCACAGTTGTTCTGTGGGACAAGCACTGGACTGCTAACCAACCACAAGATTGGCAGTTGGAGCCCACCAGCTGCTCTGTGGGAGAAAGATGAGGCTTTCTACTCCCATAAAGATTTACAGTCTTGGAAACTCTATGTTGGTGGTTGGTGGTAGTGAGCCGTGAAGTCGGTTCCAACTCATAGCGACCCTGCACAGGGTTTTCAAGGCTGTAAGTCTTTACAGGAGTAGAAAGGCTCATCTTTCTCCCATGGAATCGCTGGTAGTTTCAAACTGCTGACCATGAGATTAGCAGTCCAACTCGTAACCACTATGCTACCAGAGCTCCTTGATAACTATACAGTCGCAGTGAGTCAGAACCGAGTCGGTGGCATCATGTGTGTTTACGACAGATTTATGTGATCTTAGGTGGGTCAAGTTACTTCCCTAGGTCTATTTCCTCAGCTGTGAAATGAAAATGATCCCCACCTCGAAGAGATGCTGCAGACTTCTGCAGAGCCAGCACACAGGAAAGGTTCAGGAGAGAGAGCCCCATCCCAGCAAGAATGTGCATCAGAGTGAGGGGCAGGGCAGCAACTCACGCTTGGCATAGCGGTCCCCAGGGTAGATGTGGCGGTTGTAGACATCCATGATGTACACACGCTTGTCCCCCATGAAATCGCGCTCATGCCCATTGCCCTGAAGGAAGAACACAGAATCCCTCATATGCAAGTGCCCTCCCCACCCCTGCCCCAGAAAACTCCCCACTGGGTCTAGACTACTTCCTGCCACTGGGGTCTGGGGTCTCATAGGGGTTAAGTGCCAGAGCTGAGACTCAACCTTAAACATAGCGCATGACCCTGAGTAAGCCCCAGACCTATGTTTCCTTTTTCTGAGTCCTGGCCTGTTAATGCTCTCAAGTCTATGAAATAGTAAAGTGTAGTGGCCTGTGTACATTTGAGAAAGCAGTAGCTCCTGACTTGGTCCAGGAGCTCAGAGTTCCATAAGTTCAGAACAGGACCCCAACCAGCACAAAATTGCAACAGCAGTGGTACAAGGGGCTTTCCAGAACCCGTGAAGTCCACTCTCCTGACCAGAGGAAATCAGCCTGCTTAAGAGTTCTGAGAGGAGACCTGGTGTGGCACTGTGGGTTAATGCACTGGACTGCAAAGTCAGTTTGAACCATAAGGTGGGTGGTTCAACCTCACCAGTTGCTCCTCGGAAACCCTATATAGGCTCACTATGGGTCAGAACCAATTCGACGGCACTTAACAATGACAACAACAAGAGTTCTGAGGAGGTGTCGCCACACTTTGATATTGTGATATTGTATCCACTGTGGATTTAGGGGACTGGGCAGCCCTAACACTGTGGACATGACATGTGTGAACATGCATCTGAGGGGCGGGTCCACAGACTCAGCAGCTTTACAGAGGTGGGCACCCCAGACAGACTAGGAAGCAACAGGAAGCCATGGCAGAGTTTGTTGTTGTTGTTGTTGTTAAGTGCCATCGAGTCGGGTCCGACCCATAGCGACCCTGTACAGGGTTTCCAAGGGTGTAAATCTTTACGGGAGTAGAAAGCCTCATCTTTCTCCCGTGGAGCGGCTGGTAGTTTCGAACCGCTGACCTTAAGGTTCGCAGCCCGATTCGTAACCACTACGCTACCAGAGCTCCTTATGGCAGAGTTTAGAGCATGAGAATATAATGTCAGGTTGGGTTTTAGGAAGAGCAATCAGCCTGGTATGTGATGGGCAGAGGAAGCAGGGAAGGAAGGTGGTCAGGATGAGAGAGGGACAATGAGCAGGACCTGAACGGAATGAGTGGAACAGAGCGACAAAGGCAGTCCTTCTGCTTCTAACTGAGAGACAGATCATTAGGGTGGGGATAGCAGAAACCAGCTTGGGGAGCTAGGAGGTCCTGTGGGAGCTCAGCCTGGCCCAGACTCACCTGATGAGCATCGAGATCAATGATGGTAGCTCTAGAGATGCCCTCCACACGCTCAAACAGAAACTGCGGGGCGAGAGGGCACACGTGAGGATCTGGGTGGGACAGGGGGCTCCGGAGGGCACACACGCATGGACACACCCAGACGGACCAGCAGGCTGAGGCAATCAGGGAAGGCTCCCTGGAAGAGGAGCGTGTACTGTTGAAGCACTGGGGGTCAACCCAGGGTTACTGTGTGGAACTTCATCCCCAATCTCTGCCTCATCCTACAAGGCCACACTCTCAGGCCTCCTCCTCCAGGAAGTCTTCCTTCCCCTCCCTGCCCTCCCCTCTCTGGACCTGCCTGCCTTCCCATCAGCTGCTGTATCCCATGGGAACAGCTCATCCTGAAGTCCAGCATGAGGCTGGGAGGAGTGGGTAGGGGCCAGGGCCAGGGCCAGGGCCAAGCTGTCCCCGTCCTCAGCTGTGCCTTTTCTCTCGGGGCCTCAGTACCCTTATCTAGAGAATGAGAGTAAACACAGATCCAATTCCACAGGGCAGAGGTTGGCAGAGGGGTGAGCATGCCGTAAATGCCAGCTGATACAGCACACCACCATTACTACCATTTCTCCTCCTCGCTTCTTCCCATGACCAAATCTTTTCTTTTGACACACTCTGACGTTCCCAGGCCCCCACCACCTTTGAGGGCTGCAATAGCTACTTTCCATCACCGGCAACACCTTTAAGTTGTGCCTAACACGAGAGAGAAAGAGTCAGAGCTAAGGTGTGAGTCTAAGCCTGGACAAGCCCCTCTGGGGTTTGGGCCCCTTCTTATAACATGGGGTTCTGGAAGGAATCTGTCTAGAGAAGGTTCCTGAAGGCAAGGTCCCCATGCCCACGACTCACCTTGATGGCAAGTGTGATGTCCGCATAGGCACAGAAGCCCCCACCCTGGTCGCTAGAGCAGTGATGGAAGCCACCCCCTGCAGAAGGGCAGATGGAAATACTGGTCAGGGTGAGGCCTTGTGCCTCCATCCTCCAGGGCTCCTGCCCAGCTCTGCTCCCAAGGCCCACTCCTCAGGTTCCAGATGAGCAAGCACATGGAGCAACGGGCACATGTGTGGCCCTAGGTCAAGAGATGGCTAAGAGCAAGAATCATCTCAGGGTCTCGGGACAAGTCAGCCCCTAGGGTCTGCTCATACCCCCAAGTGAAGAGCACTCACTCCTCCCACTGGCAGAGCTAGGGCCTGCCTCCAGGTGACTCTCTCACCCTCATGGGGGTGGGGGGGCGGAGGGAGTAGGAAAGAGATTGTGTGAGGGACCACTAGGCTTGGCATGGGGCCAATTAGATTTTTGCAGGTGAAAAACCAGAAGGAATGGCTAAAGGAATACAGGTTGGGTTGGTGACACTGTTGGGTAACTATTTGGCTGCCAACTGCAAGATTGATAGTTCAAAACCACCAGCAGCTCCATGGGAGAAAGATGAGGCTGTCTGTTCCCTTAAGAGTTACAGTTTCAGAAACCCTATATAAAGGTCACTGAGTGTGGCACTACAGGATAAGCATTTGTCTGCTAACTACAAGGTTGGCAATTTAGACCCACCCCCCTCAGCTGCTCACAAAAATCCTATACAGGTTCACTATGAGTCAAAACTGATTCCATGGCACTTAACAACGAGTCAGAACTGGAGTCCTGGTGTGGCACTGTAGGATAAGCACTGGACTGTTAATCACAAGGTTGGCAGTTCAAACCCAACAGCCTGTTCCTTGGAAACCTTATATAGGGTCACTATAAGTTCTGGTGTGGTACTGTGGGTTAAAGCGCCAGACTGCAAAGTCGTTTGAGCTACAAGGTTCAAACTCACCAGCTAGCTGCCCCCTGGAAACCCTACACAGGGTCGCTATGGATCAGAATAGACTCAGCAGCATTTAACAACGACAATGTGAGTCAGAAGCTACTTGAAAACACTTAACAATTGGCTCGGTGGCAATGAGTTTACTTTGGGAAGAGAGAGGAGGTTAAGCAAGGCCACTCACTCTCTGCTGGTCATGAGTGCCCACGGCAATGGGGAAGGCCCTGTAGGCCAAGGTCCAGCTCCATCCACTCTGTCTGCTCCCACCCTCGGAACCTCAGGACTCTGCAGAGACCCTCCCTGCAGACCCTCTGAAATCAGCCCAGCAGATACCCGACATGAGCTATATTAGTAACGCCAGGCCCATGGATACAAGTGGGCTTGTCTTTCTCATCACTTAAGAAGCCACTGGTGGATAATGACAAGACAAAAGCTCAGCTATTAACCCAGGCACTGAGCTCACTGAAACCACCCTGCAGCCCTAGATACTCATCGCCTCCATTTTATAGGTGAGAAAAGTGAGGCGCAGAGAGGTTCAGCAATTTGCCCAGAGTCACACAGCTGGCAGAACCAGGATTCAAACACAGGCTAAATCAGAACCAGTGCTCTTAACTACTCTGCCAGGTCATAATACCTTCCAACGACGAGGGAAGGGCCAACCCAGGTCCTGGGCTGGAACTCTGCCACTGGTACCCAGTGGAGTGTATCAGAGAGGGTGTGACATCGCTATTCCAGGCCTAATACCAGGTCCTGGCAACATCAACACACCCAAGACCCAGGCCCTGCCCCCGGACCTCTTTCCACATCCATTTCCCCAGCCCTGAAATCGGCCTGACAACAATTATGTCAGACTCACAAGACAGGCTCAGAGGAAAGGGTTGTGCAAACTGTAAAGTGCTGTCCTTCCCTGGGAACAATGGCAAGGACCAGAAAGGATGCTGTGTGCAGCCCACCCAGGAGCCAGTCTTGTGGGTGAGCCCTGGGGTGGGGGTGGGGGGGGGGTGGCCCTCAAGACCCCGGAGGAGGAGGCGGCATTGACCCTGGGTCTGTCCACCTACCACACATGACCATTCCCAGCAGGCTGTCCACCAGGAGGTGGCCCAGTGTCTTTGAGGGGAGTCTCATAGAAGCAGGTTCAGGCCCACAGAGCTGCCCAGGAGAGCAAGACAAAGAGCCCCAGCACCAGATACAGGTAAAGGGGGGGGATGCAGAGTTTTTGGAACTCTGAGACAAGAGCCCCACACCAGACAGACCAACTGCTGTCTCTCCAGGTATCACCTCCAAAGGGAACATCAGAACTTCCTAAGCTCCCCCAGACCCTCCCTGCCACTAGGTCCCAGCAGCCGGACATTCCCACACGGCCACAGCACTCACCCACGTTGATGGCCCAGCCTCGCTCCATGGCCAGCTTCCCTGCCTTTGGAGACAAACACAGGTGAGGTCAGTGCCTGGCCTGCCCCCTTTCCCAGCTGTCTCCATGGGCTCTGGGTGGGGCTGAGCTATGCAGGAGATGGGGGCACCACCAGCCATCCTAAGGTCAGTCACCAAAGTAGTCTCAGATGGGCTGATATACAACAGGGGCAGTGGGAGGAGCCCTTTTGCAATTTTGCAGGGAAACACAAAGCAATTATGTTGACTACTTATCAGCATACAAGAATGGACAGTGATTTTAATGCAGCTTTGAAAGAGAAAACAGATTATTTTTTGCTCATGGAAATTCAGACTGAATATTTCAATCCTGTTGCAATATCACAGCTTTTGGGTAGACAGTAAGATTCTCCTAACCAAGTAAAGTACAAACTCACAAAGCTCTAAAGATCATTAGAGGAAGTGGCTAGAGGAGGCTAGTACTGTGTGTGTGGCGCTATAGGATACAATCAGCACTGGCCTGCTAACTGCAAGGTTAGCAGTTCAAACCCACCCGCTATTCTTCAGAAGCATTATACTGTGAGTTGGAACTGATTCCAAGGCACTTAACAATGACAACAATGGGTCTAGAGTTTCTATGTGGGATGATAATAAAAGGATTTGGAAATAGCAGTGATAGTTAGAACATTGTGAATATATTTACTCCTCAAAATGGCTAAAATAGTCATTTTTATGTTATGTACATTTTACCATGTTTAAAAAATAATAATAGAGAAAGATAAATAGAAAACAAACAAAAAAACTAGAGGGCTGAGTAAGTACTGATCCAAACTTAGGTTAGCTCCTGAATGTTCCTCTACCTCCAATCATCTTGAGAGCCTGCAACAAGTGTTTAAGAAAACTACAGAGATAAAACTTCATTTTCCTTTATTGCCACACCCATGCGGGGGATGGCAGAATATCACACATCATTGAATTATGAGGGTCAATTTTTACATCCTAAATTTGGGTGCACTTGAGACCTAATGTTTGGATATGCTCTTTGGAGGATAGGGCTGTATCTTATATACCAGCAAATATGGTAACTCAAACAAAAGACCATTGGAGAAGGAACAATGAATTCTAATGTCCCAGGGGGAGAAAGGTTTTTTGGAGAAAGAATTACTATTGCTAGGCCTTGAGGAATATTTAGAATTTTGTTCAATTACCAAGTGGGGGAAGTGCATTCCAGAGTCAAGGGTGGGGAGAAGCCCAGGGTGTGGGGTCCCAACCCAGTCCCTCCTCTCCTCCTTCCCAACCTACCATGATGGTTCCTCCGGTCTGGGTCCGAAGGGGCCTCAGCACCTTTCTCTGCACAAGGAAGTTGGGGAGGCAAATGACAGGGGGGATTTCTGTGATGGTTGCCACAACAAAGGACCACTGTGGAAAGAGACACAGCCCCTGAGCTCTCTAGGTAACCAGATCCTTGTTCAGTGAACTAAGGGTGATTTCACAGTGGCCCTGGGTGAACTACCTGGTCTAGGGAGGTTCCTTTCCTCATAAATGAGAGCACTCACTGCCCGCCCCCAAACACTGCCAGCCTTCCCTAAAGTGACTTTGGCCGCCCTCTTGTGGCCATACAAGGAGCCGCAGGGGTCTACATCACAGCCATAATGCCACAAGATGGGGGCTCTGAAAGCCAAGCAGGGAAGTCACAATGATAAAGCCAAGACCACTCCCCTTCCTCCCTCCCTTGCACCTTGGGACCTCTCATCCATTGAGAATCATTTTAAAGGGGGAGAAACCAGAGCATGTGTACTAATGGGAGGAAGGCAGCAGAGCAGGAAAGACAGTCCAAGAGTGGGTCACACCTGGATGGGTCAGGCAGGTCCCAGGGCTAGGAGGCACCCACGCAAAGCAGCCAGCAAGGCCGAGGATGCTCTCCATGTATTCTCCCTCAAAGGAAGGATCAGTTAGCACAGACCTGAGGCCCTGTGTGTCTGAAAGGAAAGGGATCCCTCCCGTCCTGCCTCACGGGGCTGTTAGAAATGGACTGACTATGAAGGTCTGATTGTCCCAGGACCCTCCCCTGTGAGGCAAGGGAACACAGGTGAGAACAGGGCTCTGCCTGAGGTCACCAAGTCAGCTCCTTCACTCACCAGTCACTTGCCCAGTGTAGGCTCCATGTGCTGGGTATGGAACTATTTTTTCTATGAATAAATGAATGCACAAACAAAGCTACTGAAGCAACAAATTAACTCACTGTCTCCCTCCCTAAGCAAGCCAGAGGGCTACAGAAATCAAAAGAAGCCACATCTTTGCCTCCTGAGAGGCCCAATATCAACACAAACCCACTACTAGCGCAACTGGCCCATCCCAGCACTGCACCAAGAAAGGATTTCACAGTCACATGAGTTTGGGGAACATATGCAAGGCAGGCACATCATGGTGTAAAGCTCTGAGAGGTTCTGCAGTAAAGAATCCACTCTAACTTTGCTTCCGTCTGCCCACCTCTTTGCTTTTTATAGAACTTACTGCAAAGCTGAAGTCTTGTGGGTTAGACTTGGAAAACTCTAAGCTAGACTGAATTTTGCATGGCCTGGGTGCCCAGAATAAAGTCCCTGGAACATGACTAAAATCCAGCCAAAGGGAGAAGGTGGGAGGTTACCCTAGCAGGGCGCCTGGGATGAGGGAAATTGGGGAGGCCAAAGAGGGGGCTGGTACCTCAGCTTCTCCTCTAGTCTTCTGGCACTTTCTGCTCAGCAGCCTACTGGTGCTCTGAACCTAGACTGTCCAACCCAGTCACCACCAGTCACATGTGGCTATTCACGTATACTTATGGAGTCCTGGTGTGGAACTGTGGGTTAATGCGCTGAATTGCAAAGTCGGTTTGAACGGCAATGTAGGCAGTTCAAGTTCACCAGCCACTCTTCGGAAACCCTATACTGGGTCATTATGAGTTAAAATTGAATCTACAGCACTTAACAAAACAATGAATGAACTAAAATGCTTTTAAGTTAAAATATTGTTGTTCTGTCACACTAGTCGTATTCTAAGTATTCAACAGGCACATGTGGCTTGTGGCTCCCAGATGGGGGAGGGCAGGCACAGAACATGTCCACCACTGTAGAAACTTCTGTGGACAGCACTGCCCCAGTAAAGACCACTGGTGGCCAGGGTGAGGAACAAGTGGGAAGGGGTGAGCAGCCTGGCAGATGGGGCACCACAGGAAAGGCAAAGCTGTGTGACAGAGGTGACAGAGCTTGGGTGAGTGGCCAGATGTGGAGAGTAGGGATGAGCAGGGGAACAGCTAGATTTCAAAAAGGTGGGGGAGAACTAGAAATAGAATTCAAGTGCCAACAAAGCCCCCACTGAGGCACTCCCCAAACAGCAAAGGGGACGCTCCAGAGAGCAGTCTGTCAGGGAGGGGCAGGCAGGGGTACCTACTACAATGCAGGAGACTGATACTTTACCCAGGGTGGGGGGCACCTCACCCCAGGCCAGGACACTAAAGGATTGGGCTGGGTGGACTTGGGAGAGGACAAGTTCAGGGTCGTCCTTATTGTACCCAAAGAACCGGCACCACTACACGTAAGTCAAATCACAGCAGAAAGCTTTATTCCTGCAGCAGGGGCTGTGACACTTGAGAAGTGACAGCAGCCCTGAAGCCTTACAGCAAGGAGTTTATATACTGGATTTTTGGGTGGCAGAGAAAGCAAGCTGGATACAGAAGCAAAACGTTTGCAGTTATCGCATCTTTGCACTCCTGTAGGGTGTAGTAACAGAACAGGGGTGTAGCAGGGACAGGATGTCTATCATGGCATAGCAGTCGGGACCTTTCAGGGTGAGGTACAGGGACCTAACACTTGTCAACATGTCATTTTAAAATTTTCTAAAAATGTTCCCTTTTAGGCCTTTGCATTTAGGCCTCACTTTATTTTAGTTAGGGTCTCACAATCCTCAGAGACAAACTGCCTCAAATATAGGCTTGGCCACTGACGACAAATATAGGCACACCCCTTTAAACAGGGGTTCCTCCTCATGTGGATTCAACATGGAAAGCTGGCAGAGATGCCTGACCTAACAACCCAATTTAAAACATCCCGGCCTGAGTCCCCTCCAGAGTCCCTAAGTGTTGCAAACTGTTAAGTGCTCCTAACTAAAGGTTAGTGGTTTCTGTCCACCCAAAGTCACCCCAGAAGAAAGGCCTGGGGCTCGCTCTACTTCTGAAAAATCAGCTGCTGGAAACCCTATGGAATACAGCTCTACTCAAAAACATCGGAGTCATCAGGAGTCAGAACAGACTCCACGGCACCTGTTTTGGTGGAGGGTATGAGCCCTTTGCTCCCAGAACACTAAGGAAATTCCCTGTACTATTTACTTATGTCACATTTCCATAAGGAAATGAACTGCTCTCTCTGCTGCTCAAACAGAACCTAGTGCTCAGTAAACATCAGTGCAATGAGTGTGACCAGAGCACTGCCCAATACGGCTGGACAAAATGTGAATGGCAAATGGCCACTGGGTCATAAGAAGACAAGAGCCTTGTGCTGGCCCAACCCAACTGCCACCCTCTGTGGGGCTTGCACACAGTCGTGCGAAATAAACATTCGTTTTCCTGTATGGGCATCACCTTACTAACAGGCTACTGCTGCTCCTTCGGGGTCTTGTTTATTCACCAGCACAAGCCAAGGCAGGGCCCAGCATCAGAGAGGTGGAGCAGGGAGAGCTGGGTGCTCCCCGGCACACACAGAACCAGAAGGGCCAAGGGACAGTTCCTAGGAGATCTGTGGGACGGACTCTCCAGGGACAGCTCTGGGTGCTAGCAACGGAGAAAGGAAAAGAAACATCACAGACATCTGGCTGAATGGGGAGATGGCGGAGGGGTCTTGAGCTGCAGCCCTCAGATATCAGACAATGTCTCCCCTGAGCAGCAGAGTTGTTGTTATATGCCATCGAGTTAGCGACCCTGTATAGGGGTTCCAAGGCTTTAAATCTTTGTGGGAGCAGAAAGCCTCATCTTTCTCATGCAGAACGGCTGGTGGGATTGAACCATGGACCTTGTTGTTTCGCAAGCCAGTGCTTATGTATGGAGCAAAATCCAAATGCCTACCCAGCAGCACTCCTCCAGGAAGCACTTCCCCTCTGACCTTTGATTCTGCAATGCTCTTCCTTCAAAGCTCGTCAGTGTCACCTATTCCTCATTCTTCAGTCTTAGCTCAAATGCTTCCTCCTCTAGGAGGCCTTCCCTGACTTCCCAGTCTATATAAGCACACCTCCACTCAATTACCCACTCTTTTCACTTTTTTTCCTAGCCCTTGGAGTTCTCAGAAATGCTCTTGTGTGTTTACTGCTTTATTTTCAGTCTCCAACAATGACATGTGACTCCATGGGAGCAGGGAGGCGTGTTTCTTTGTCTCTCTGGATCTAGCACACAGTTGAGACCCAGTATAGAGGCACTGAATGACTGAATGAATCCTGCTCACCTGATGGGTGCTTTGCAAATCCTCACAGTTGTCTTCTAGCTCTGGCCACCAGGGAGATTAAAGTCAACATGCAGCTCAATCCCAGCAGACTGACAAATCAGGATTCTCCGCCTACCCTTGACCTCAATTTGCTACTTGAGACTTTTTCATTAATGCTTACCATATAGCTGCCTTCATCCAATGTTTTAAGGTCTCCCTGTCCAACTCAAATCCTCACCTTCTGGATTCTGACCTTCTGGTCCAGCCCGGTAGCTGTGGATTAGATCATGCAGGCCCTGGCCCCAGAAAATGAGGACAGCCAAGCTCTGGGCTCCCTGCCAAGGCCTCACACACCTCTCTCTCCAGAAGCCAGGTATCAGCTGCTTCCTGGTAATTTTTCATGAGTTCACACTGTCGTGGCCCCATCTAGAATTTTCACAGTTCAGGTTGGGTGGTAGGGAAAGGGAGGTAGCAGCCATGGACTGGGGTCTGGGAGCCCAGACTGAAGACAGGCTCACCAGTATGCCCATCCCTAACTTCCTGGGTGGTCTTGAACACTCTGACTTTTTAATGAGAAGAACTAGGGGGCTTGGTAACCTCTGCTATCTCAATGGTTCTGAGTATGAAGGTTGGGACTTGGGGCCAGGGCTCCCACACACTTGGCAGCAGAATAAGAAGAGCCTTCACCTGGGCTCACGTTGACCCCAAAACTGATGCCCCTGCCACCTCCCTTTGCTCCTAGAGAGTATGCTAAGATTTGAGGTCCTCAGAACCCCTCCGTGAACAGGAACTCTATGAGCCTCTCTGCAGAGACCACAGCCTGGGACCCATACTGTTGTTGTTGTTAAGTGCCGTCTAGTCGGTTCCGACCCATAGCGACCCTGTACAGGGTTTCCGAGGGTGTAAATCCTTACGGGAGTAGAAAGCCTCATCTTTCTCCCGCGGAGCGGCTGGTAGTTTCGAACCGCTGACCTTAAGGTTCGCAGCCCGATTCGTAACCACTACGCTACCAGAGCTCCTTGGGACCCACACTATCCGGCATGATTTTTAAATCTTAAAATGCATGATCACCTTAAAAACTCAGGAAATTCCATTGAACCATGAAGATTTCTGGATCCCTTTGAAAACCAGAAGCTCCAAACTATTTTGGAGCTGGACTTAGTTTGAAAGGACCAAGTATTTGCAACATCATGTGGTCAGCACTTCAAACCCACCAGTCGCTCCTTGGAAACCCAATACTGGGTCACTATGCGTCCAAACCAATTCAAGGGCACGTAAGAACAACAATATAAAGCACAAAGTCCCCAAGAAGCTTCCATCTCCTGCTCCCACCTCCAACAGTGGGGAGCTCACTACATAGTTCTGCCTTTTTACACCATTCTTCCCTCCTTCCCTTGTGCCTAGAGACCACATGTTCTCCTGCCCCAGGGGCAGAAATGAGAGCCCTTGAGACTGTCCTTCTCCAAGAAGAGCTGCCGCCCCATCTCCTCCACCACATCCCGCAGCCCTGTACCTTCAACTTGTTGAGGTAACGCCTCGTGTGCACCACCAGTAGGTCTTCCTCTGAGGCCTCCTGAGCCTCCACCAGCATGTTGTCTGACAGAAGCTTCTCCTCTGAAACCACAGAATAGTACCCTGCTGCAGACCAGCTGCTGTTAGCCTCAGTCCTCAGATAAGAAGCAAACTGCTGGCTCCAGAGCATTCTGAGGACAGCCACCTCCCCGACCAGTATACACGGACATCAGACACACAGTGACCCCATGAGCTGATGCCAGGTAGCACATGAGATAAGAATGCTGACCCTCAAGGCTTAGAAAGCTGTTATCGATTCTTTCTCAAGCTTCAGATGCATCGGGAGGTCTCCGTGTAGTGCTGGCCTCCTGCTAACACCTGCCTGGCATTTGGCTCTTTGGAAATAGAAAGACAGCGGGTTCTCATCTCACGGACTGCAAGCAGCAGAAGCTGGCTTGAATGGAGTCACACTGCTGGGTTTTCCCGGCACCATGACCTTCTATTTATGACAATTGAAACTGGCTTTTCCCATCTAGATGACATAATGGTTCCCTTTAAAACAAGTTTAAGTTGTTTTAAACAGAGATTAAGTAAATAAAATATGAAGAAAATAATGGAACAGGTGATATAAAGAGATGCCAGGTCCCCAAGAGTGGTTTCCAAATGACTGATGTTTGGGAAACACTACAAGACTTCATCATTCCCTCACATACATCAGACAAGATTCACACTCCATTCTGCAAATGAAGAAACTGAGGCTAAGAGCAGAAAGTGCTTCAGGGCATGGGGAAGACAGGCCCCTGATGCTCTGGGTTCTAGGGAAATTGAAATGACAAAGACAGATTTTAGAGGACCACATACAGTTCCAGGCAGGTAGGGCTCTTCACAGTAAACTCCAAGGCTCCCCATTTCCTCAGGCAAAGGACTGACTCCATTCTTGGCATGACATTTCAGGCCTTTCACCAACTCCAACTTCCTTTCCTCTCCACTCTCACTCTGTGAGAGAAGGAAGGAACTCCAGGCTGCCTATCAGCACAGACAGGGAGACCAGGAACCCTTCTGTTGAGCTACTGGATGATGCAGGAATCCGAGAAGCAATTCAGGCTGAGTATGCTCGAAATGGTGCACAAGAGACCAAATGCAGGAAGGCAAGGGGACTGCAAGGTTTAAGGTGGGCCCAGCTCCACTCACCTCTCCTGGTGATAGGCTACCTGTACTCCTTCCTACCTAATAGTTTTCTTTCTGGTCACTACTACAAATGGAAGATCACTACTACTTCCAGAAATAGAAGCTAACCAAAGACTTAAAAAAGCAAACAAACACATTGAAAGCAAACAATGTTATTGAGCCCTAATTTGCTCCTATTTTCTGCAAGGCACAGAGGCCTGCTCTAGATTTGTTAAAAACAGAGATGGGCATGTCTTGAGAGGTATTAAATACAGGCTAGTCCCAAAGTGAGACTTTCTCCTTGCTGTGATCAGTGTGGCATTGTAAGATAAACGCTTGACCACACAGTCAGTTTGAGCCACAAGGTCGGCGATTCAAACCCACCAGCTGCTCCTCAGAAACCTTATACAGGGTCGCTATGAGTTGGAACTTAAAACAACATGATTTAAAGATATTCAGTCGTTCATCCTATGCCAGGTAACACTTCCTGCTTCTCTCAATGAAAGAATCCCTGAGAGAGCAACTAAGGAGAATATTCATATGCCAGCCCACTGTAACACCTGAATTCCTCTCCTACATTAGACCACTGGATTACAAACTGCAGCTAAAGGTCATGTGTTCCAGAGCGTCACCTTATTCTCTGAGACGAATCATGAAGTGATGGAACAAGCTCTGATGGAAACCTAGAGTTCTGAGTTCCAGACCCCAATCTGCCACTTGGAGCTTGGAGCATGCTTCCTAAGCTTTCTGGGCCCCAACTCCCCATCATATTCACAGGGTTGGAGCAAAGGATTTCAGGTCCCTGGGCTCTTGAAGCACATTGGGCATAGACTTCTCCAAACTTCTATTCTGTGTCTATTATTAACCAGCTCTCTTTCTACTGGGTTTCCAGGGGCAGAGGCAGAACAAGGGTCCACAGCCATGAAGAACCAATGTGGGTTTCAGAGAGGCATTTAAGGCGATTAGTGGGCTAGCTTGGGAAGATAGCACTGACAACGTGGGTTGAAGGCAGGCAGTCCGGGGGGCTGAGACTCCAGGTGGGAGGGTCTGACACGTGTGTTCAAGGAAAGACAGTAAGGAGACAAGGATGGTGGACAGGTGGGGTAGGGTGAGAGGGAGCCTTCCATACCTTTGAGGAAATTGACCACTTTGCCCCATTTTCCAGCGTCAAATGGGTGCAGCTTTTCCAGGCCCATGAAAGTGATGTTGTAACGCGGCGAGTACACAATGGGCCAGCACGTCTCTGGCACAGGCTGGTACAGTTGGCTTGTGTGTGGCCTTTAGTGTGCACAGATGGGTAGCCTCAGTGTGGAGAGCAATCATTATGGTCCACCCCCTCCCCAAGATTCCACTTTAGCTGACCACATAACCCCAACTCGGCACCATTATTCCCTGGGCCCAGAAAGAGGCTACTTAACAACAGCAACGGCGACAACAACAATGACAACCTTTACTATGTACTCACTGTCCTTTCCTGAAATACCTACTCCCATCTTCAAAGCAGCCCTGGAGGCAGGCACTATGACCCCACCAGAGGTTCAGAGATGGACCCAAGGTCACATAGATAAGGAGTCTGTGGAGCAGCGGGGTGTCCCCCTTGTACATTATAACCAATACACTTAACAATTGTGTGGTCTCTGAGCCCTTAGCCTTCGTTTCAACAGTGAAATAAGGGTTGTTGGGAGGATCAGGCACAGAAAGTGCTCAGTCGGTGAGAAATGGGATTACAGTTCGCAGAAACAACAGGTCTGAGCTCACGAAGGCTGTGACTCAACCCCAGGCTAGGGTCGGTGGTGTCCTGGGGCCCCCGCCACAGCTAACCCCCCTCCCGACGCTGCAACCGCCACACCAGCACAGCTGGTGGGCCCGGGGGAGGACACACGTCAGACCTGCGCCTGTCGCAGTGGAGACGGAGCTCCGGGTAGGCTGCGTGGACAGGACTCGCCTGGGGACTCCCTGCGCAAGGGCCCCTCACCCTCCGCACCTGGGCCCGCATTTGGCGGGCCCGCCCGGTCACCCGTGCACTCGTGCCCCTGCCCACAGGGACCCATGGAGACCCCTGGGGAGCACTGAGACCAGGCTTGACATTCCACTCCGCGCCCCACCCTTGCTGCACTCACATCCCGGGGCCTGGACCTCCCGGCAGTGGCAACCGATGAGCACTGGGGCAGGGCCGGGAGCTGGTGGGGCAGGCCCTCACCTAAGACACGCCCCCGGCCCGGCCTGCTCCACTGGGGGGCGGAGTTCTGGTAAGACTTAGCCCCGCCCCCTCGCGTCGACGCTGCGTCACAGAGGGTTGGAATCCCGCGCTGAGCTCGCAACCCGCAAAGAGACCACGCCCCCACGGCCACTCTGGCGAAGTCTCGTCGGTCGCAAGCGAATGCCCTGTGAGGTCCCACCTAGCTCGGGAAAGCACGCCCCTTGGGGGAGGAGCCAAGCGAGCTTTCACCACAGTGCGCCACCGAGGGTTGGAGCTTACGTCTTCGCCCAGCCCCGGGGGAGGGGCAGTCCACTCAGCCCAGAGTCCAGAGTCCAGGGATTCCAATTCACTAGCCAATCTTCAGAAGTTAGGCAGTGGGTTTCTGTAAAGATTACTTTCCTACGCCGTTGCCATCGAGTGGATTCCGACTCATAGCTTCGGTTTCCGAAGCTGTACATCTATGTTCTTGTTACGTGCCATCGAGTCAGTTCTGACTCATAGCAACCCTGAATAAAGTTTCCATGGAGCGGCGGTAAGTCTGAACTGCCGATTTTGTGGTTCAAACCGAACTTGTGGTCCGGTGCTTTATACCACAGAGCCACACCAAAATTCCTATACATCTATACGGGCGCAGAAAGCTTCCTCTTTCTCGCTGAGAGGTTGGTGGATTCAAACTGCCGACCTTGTGGTTCGCAGTTCAGGGCTTATCCTACAACCACAGCAGCCTGGGAGAGTTCTACTGTGTCCTATAGAGTTACCTTGAATCCTAATCGACTGACCTTGACCGGTTACCGTTGCACCCCAGTCTAGCGTCGCGTTCCCTGCGCCTGCATCCACGTTTAAGGAGGGATTGCTTTCGTCCTACCTATCATAGCTAACCATGGGACCCCACACTTCACTGAATGGCCCTCCCAGTCCCATCTTCAACAGCTCTGACCTGAGACGGGTCTGAAACCTTAGTTTCCTCTTCTGTAAAGCAGAGCTGGCAGTCTCATATTCTAGGTGCACCTCCCACCCCACCCAGGAAAGGCAAGACAAGCATGAGCAACAGCTAGGAGTGTCTGTGAAACAGCAGGCTGGGAGGACTCCCGCAGCAGCCACAGAGAACAGAGACAAGGAGCCTCTCTGTCTCCAACCAAAGAGAAGCAGCTGACCATGGGCCTGCCTAGAGACCAGTCATCACAGGAAACTGCAGCACTGTATCTGGGTGGGGAACAATGAAAGAAAATAGGGCACAGACATTTGTTTCGCAATTTTTTATTATGGTAAAATGCATAAAGGATTTGTCATTTCAAATCTAGTCCTATGAGGTGGTCAGTTATCATCCCAATTTTATGAGGAGGTCATTGAGGTTTGGGCCCAGATTAAATCCCAGACCTAGACATCTGCCAGTAGAGTAACCTTTAGCAAATTGCTTCATTTGCTTCATTTCTGCATCTGAAAAATGAGATGATGACTGCTCAGCATGCCTCAGGATGAAGTTGAGAATAAAGCAAGCGATAATATTATTTAAAGAGCACTTCACATGTGTTAAAGTTCTGGTAGCATTGTGGTTATGAATCAGGCTGCTAACTTCAATGTCAGCAGTTCAAAACTATCAGCTATTCCGCAGGAGAACGATGAGGATTTCTGCTCCTGTAAAGATTTACAGCCTCAAAAACATGTACAGGGTGGCTATGAGTCAAAACCGACTCCATGGCACATAACCACCACCAGCAGCAGCATGTGTTAGAGGTTCAGTTTAGCAGAGATTTCAGACTAAGACAAACTAGGGAGGAGGACCTGACAATCTAGTTCTAAAAAACTTGGCCAGTGAAAACCTGATGATTGGCAGCTCACATCCCAAAGCATTGTCTGATACAGGGCCAGAAGATGAGCTCCTCAGGGTGGAAGGCTCTCAAAATAGCTGCCCCTTCAAAGCAAAGTGGGCCTAACAATGTGGATGGAGCAAAACTTTCAGGACACTCATTAGCTGATGTGGCAGGAGTCAAAAAGAAGAAACTTCTAGCTGCAAGTATCCATTAATAATCAAAATGTAGAAAATATGAAATATGAATCTAAGCAAATTGGAAGTGTTATGCAATGCATAAATGTTGATATCCTAAGCATTTGTAATCTGAAGTAGACTGGTATTGATCATTTTGAATCACACAATCTGCTATGCTGGGAATGACACATTGAAGAGAAGAGTTGTCACATTAATCAACAAAAAGAGCATATCAAATCATTCCAGAAATACAATGGTGTTAGTGATAGGATAGTACCTATATGCCAACAAGGGAATGCAGTTAATATAACTATTATTCTAATTTACCCACCAACCAGTAGTGCCAAAGATGAAAAAATTAGAGATTTTTACCAACTTCTACAGTCTAAAACTGATGAAGTGTACAGTCAGATTAATTGATAATTACTGGTGATTGGAATGCAAGAGTTGAAAACAAAGAAGGATCAGTAATTGGAAAAATAGACATTGGTGACAGAGATGACACTAGACATAGCATGATATAATTATACAAGACCAATGACCTAATCATAGCAAATGCCTTTTTTCTACAACATAAAGGCAACTGTGCATGTGGACCTCACCAGATGAAATACACCAGAATCAAATTTACTATGTCTATGAAAAGAGATGATGGAGAAGTTCAATATCATCAGAACAAGATCAGTGGCCAATTGCTCTTATGCAAGTTCAAGTTGAAGCTGAAGAATATTAAAACAAGTGTATAAGAGCCAAAGTCTACAAACTTATTCTCAGGAATAGAGTTGACACATTGAACACTAATGACCAAAGACAACTCCTGGATGTGAAGATCATAGTGCATGAAGAAGCAAAAGATCATTTAAAAGACAAAGAAAGAAAGAAAACACCAAAAAGGGTATCAGAGAAGACTCTGAAACTCGCTCTTGAATATACAGAGTGAATGGAAGAAATGATGGAGTAAAATAGCTGAATAAAAGATTTCAAAGGGTGACTGGCGAAGGCAAAGTAAAGTAGTATAATAAAATGTAGAAAGATCTGGTCTTAGAAAACCAATATGAAAGAACATATTTGACATTTCTCAAACTGAAAGAACTGAAGAAAAAAATTCAAGCTTTGAATTGCAATATTAGGGATATTATTGGCAAAATACTAGACTCCTTGTGTGGCACTGTAGGATCAGCACTGGACTGCAAACCACAATGTCAGCAGTTCAAACTCACCAGCTGCTTCCTGGAAACCTTATACAGGGTTGCTATGAGTTGGAACTGACTCGACAGCACTTAATGACAATAACAACAACAATGGAAAAATATTGAATGATGCCAGTAGCATCAGAAGAAGATGAAAGGAAGATCCTGGAAAGTTTGGGAGAAAATGTGAAGCAAAACTCAAAATCATAAAATAGACCAGGTTGACTGGTCTGACAGATACTGGTAGAATCCCTGAGACTATGGTCCTTAGGCCTGGCTCAACTTTCAGCCAAACAACAGGCCTACAATGTGACCAATAACACCAGGATGGTACTCACTCCTGAGAACAATCAACCATACAAATCAAAAGGGCAGCATTTGCCCAAGGAGAAAACTCAGAATGCAGGAGGGGTCAGGAAAGAAGGAAGAATGGAAACAATGAATACAGGGAAGAAGTGGGAAGAATGCTGTTGCATTGTGGGATTGCAATAGATGTCATAAAACAAAATCTGTATGAATTGCTGAATGGGAAACGAATTTGCTCTGTAAACTTCACTCAAATCACAGTAATAAGTTTGTTTTTTAAAAAAAGATAATGGAAGGAATACATAGAGTCACATGTTGATGTTCAACCATTTCAGAAGGTAGCATATGATCAAGAACAGATGGTATTGAAGGAAGAAGTCAAGCTGCACTGAAAACTCCAGGAATGGATAGAATATCAATTGAGATGTTTCAACAGATACACTGCTGGAAGCACTCACTCATCTATGCCAAGAATTTTGGAAGACAACTACCTGGCTAACTGACTGGAAGAGACCCATATTTGTGCCCATTCCCAAGAAAGGTAATCCAACAGAATGCAGACATTATCCAACAACATCCTTAATATCACTTTGGAAGTAAAATTTTGCTGAAGATGATTCAAAAATGGTTGCAACCATACATTGACAGGGAACTATCATAAATTCAAGCCAAATTCAGACAAGAACCTAGATCAATGGATATTATTACTAATGTTAAATGGATCTTGACTGAAAGTAGAGAATACCAGAAAGATGTTTACCTGTGTTTTTTTGTTTTGTTTTGTTTTAAGCTTTCATTGCCTGTGTTTTATTGACTACACAAAGGCATTCAATTATAAGGATCATAACAAACTAAGGATAATATTGTAAAGAATGATAATTCCAGAACACTTAATTGTGCTCATAGAGAACCTGTACATAGACCAATAGACAGTTAATTCAGATAAAATGGGGGATACTGCATAGTTTAAATTGAGGAAAGGTGTGTGTCAGGGTTACATCCTGTCACCACCTACCCAAAGCCACCGAGTTGATTCCAAGGGTTTCTGAGACTAAATCTTCATGGGAGCTGAAATCCTGATTTTTCTCCCACAGAGAGACTGGTGGATTTGAACCACTGATTTAGCAGTCAGCAGCCTAACTAACACCTAACCAATAGTGCCACCAGGGCTCCTTATACTTATTCTATCTATATGCTGTTGTCTAACATCTATATATTTAGTAAATAATCAGAGAAGCTCAATTACATGTAGAATGGGCATCAGGATTGGAGGAAGACTCGTTAACAACCTGCAATACGCACATGACACAACCTGGCTTGATGAAAGCAAAGAAGGCTGAAGTACATATTGATGAAGATTAAAGACTATATATAGCCTTCAGTATAGATTACACCTCAACATAAAACAAAAATCCTCACAACTATACCAATAAAAAATGCCATGATGGAAAA